GAGAGAGAGAGAGAGAGAGAGAGAGAGAGAGAGAGAGAGAGAGAGAGAGAGCAACCAACCCACCGACTGACCTGCCCAGTTACCCACCCACGGACGCACCAACCCACCAACCCACCAACCCACCGACCCACCAACCCATCAAACCACCGACCCACCAACCTACCGGCCCACCCATAACCCAATTACCGACCCACCCATCGACCAACCCACATAGTAACCACCTATTTACCAACCAACCCACCAAGCTATCGACCCACCCACACGCCAAACCACCCACTGACCCACCGACCCACCCGTCAACTGACCGACTGACAGACAGGGACCACGTGCTCCTATGTGTCATATTTCATTTTATGTTATTAGGCATCTATTTTCACCATCACCTCCACATTACAGCTTCATTCAGTACTTGACCTTCTTTGTCCGCCATCTGCACTCTGTTTGTTGTTCTTTCGCCACAGGCGTTCTGAGCACTGTAGTTGTTTCATTGTTGGTGAAGTACTAGTAACAGTGTTGAATGCAGTACGTGGAGACAAACATATAGACACTGTGTCATGCTGGAGGTGCTTGGCAACTTCATTTTCTCAAACCTTTGAGTTCTCTATGCTAAGATCCCAACAACATTCCCATTTGAACTTTATCGTCAGGTTACCTGGGCAGAATGGAGCCGAGAATGGTGATGCTTGAGCGCTTGCGCTCGTGGGCATAGACACATCGTGGTTTCCGAGATATGTTATGCCTCGCATGATGCACGAAGTGCTTTCCATCGTGATGGTTTGAGAAGTTCATGACTTTTCCATTTTGGGGCTTGTTGTGCATGGTTGACAGCTTACACCATATACGGACACTACCTTCTTCCCCCGAATAGAACATATGGTCATTTTCGCTGCATCTGTACTGAAAGGTGAGCCAAATACGGCTATAATGACGTACGATCTATTTGGGAGAAGACGGTAGGGCTTTCCAGGATGTATCTGAGCAGAGTTACAATTAGACTTAGCGAAGGTCCTAGTACGAGTATGCACTCAAGTCTTCTGGATATTGGAATGCTCTCACATCTGTCCCCCGCACTGACAACATTGGTGTTGGTTCAGTATTTTGAGTTTCTTCAGTTTTGGGAATGCACACCACCACAGTTATAGTTTTATATTTGTAATACTCTGTATGCCACTTTGGGGATTGAGATTTGCAGCGTCGGAACTCAGACTATGTGCTGGCATCGATGCAAAATGAAGATTTTTACACCGAGATTAGCAACCTTATGGATTGTGTTAATTTAGGGATTCAGATTTGCGGCATGGGAACTCAGCCTATCTGCGGGCATCAATGCAAAACGATGATTTCGGATCCAAGGACCGATAACTACAAGAGCTTTCCTCTAAACCCGCTGAGGTTAGCAGCCATACGGATAATGTTTGAAAACTTTAGATGTGCATTCTTTCATGTTAATTACTTAAAGAAAAATGACGATATCATGTTCAAAGTTTACACTTGCAAGTTGAATGCACCATGGACTTCCCCCCAGTCAGAGTTTGGAACCTCATGGCTCAAGATCCCTTCCTCTCTCTCTCTCTCTCTCTCTCTCTCTCTCTCTCTCTCTCTCTCTCTCTCTCTCTCTCTCTCTCCATCCATTCCCCACCCCGCCCCCCTCCCCCTCCTGTGTGTGTGTGGTGGTGTTGTGCTGCATGGCACAGAACTTTTCAGCCTACCAGCAGTCACAAAATTGTTTACACCACTTGGCCCTAATCAAATTTCCACCACGAGGCATGGATGTTTTTTCGCGCCATCACAATTTTTTTGGAGCCATGTAGCTGGCCAGCCCGGCTGAATGGGGCTAGCACAGGAAGCTGGTCCAACTGACTGCAAGTGGGGCCCACATGGTTGGACCCAGCTTTTTCCCATGGGACCTCACCAGGATGCATTACATCTGGGGAGAGGTTCTGCTCTGAGTAATGTGTGTGACACTGTGTACAATTTTTTTTTAATTATTATTTTTAAATTTAATTTTATTTTTAAAGGCTAATTCTTTGAAGCCCAACAAATTCAATTACCTGTCAAATCTGGACAGGATGGCCTTTCACGCCTGTGTGTACAATTTTATCTTCGGCTTGAATGGAGCTTTGGGGTAAGGAATTTTAAAACCAAGATTGCAGTTTAGGCTTGTTGTGTGGACATAAACAAAGTTTCAAATGATGCTTCTTGTATGGATCATAAGGTTTAAGCCCTTAGGGCTTCAGGGAGTAAGGGTGAGGGTTTATGACTAGGGCTTTCAGGTTGAAGAACAGTGACTTTGGAATTCAGCCTCTGAGGACCTGGAGGACAGCAAAATTCGACAAAAGCAGACGTTCGGCGATGATCTGACCATCTCGAACACGAAGCGACAGACGTCCCTGAAGCATTAAATTGGCATTCGATGTGATTGTAGATGCACTCTGCCAGCAAACAGGAAAGACAGGGGGACAAATAATCCAGTCTGTCAGGAACCAGGCCCTCAACCCTCGACACTCCTCCAAAAAGTAAGAAAGAATTACAGTTCAAGACACCCGCTATGATGCCCATTTCATGTTGCAAAACTCAAATGTGAGACAACACCATGGCCCTCCACCCTCAACACTCCTCCAAAGAGTAAGAAAGAATTACAGTTCAAGACACCTGCTATGATGCCCATTTCACGTTGCAAAACTCAAATGTGAGACAACACCATACATCGCAACTCAAATAGAAGAAGAATGAGTAAAGGAGAGAAGAAGAATGAAGGAAAGTAGTCGTAGAAGAAGAACAGAAGCTAATGTTATCTCCCTCCTTCACTTGCCACCATCACCTCCTTTGTTGACAAAGAATTGTGATACTAATGAAAGAATGAACAAGAATCAATGTCCGAATGATGCCCCGTACTGCCATTGGAGAAAGAGCTCTCCTTTAGTTTGCCCCCCCGCTCCACTCCACTTGGTATGTCTACTAGCTATGGGAGGTCATCCATGACCACCACAGATGCTTGAAGGACAACACAAACTACTCTTCTGCCTCTCCTCTCCTCTACCGCCTTATCTACCCTCCCAATGAAATCCACGCTCAACTGGTACCCGACCAGGGCCTTCTTGATGCAGCGCCAACGAGGAAGATGAAGATGTAGGTCCACCATAGCCAAAGGTAAGTCTCCTTGTCAGTCCCTGACTCCTTCCCTTCCTCAACCTCTACTTACCTCCATAAGCCTGGTTGGAATGACTTATCCCTCTACGTGGCAGACTGATACCACACGGGCCCCAGTTAGGGCCCGGTTCTGTAGTTGGCACGGTTTAGGCCTAGGTACCAGGTCACGACGTTCCCAGATAGGTCCAGGTAGGCCTAGGAACCGTCGGTTCAGTTTAGGGTTCGGTAAGTGTTACATGCTGTACAGGCCCCAACCTGTTTCCCTACAGGGAAACTTCCAGGCTCTTGCCTGGAAGCTTCCTTCTGACAGGGCCTACAGG